TGTAAATCTCAAACTTGTTATAGAAGCTTCTTACAACTTTTCAAATAAACTACACGGCCATTTCATTTATGAAGTATTATTTTATTTTTCAGCATCTCTTTAAGAAAATTAATTTAAACATGTTTTCATGTGCCATTTTAGTATATCAATGATCAAAGCTAGCTTATCAGCTAGTTTCAAACCCTAATGTCAAGAACAGCGCTTGAGTTTCTCAGATATAAGCTCACCTTAGCCTATCAACTCATTTTTGTCAAACAGAGCCTTGATAAGTTAATTCTTTAAAAGAAAACAGGACCAAAATACTGTCAGTAAATCAGTTGAGCAATCAAACAAAAATAAAAGAAATAACAGAGTTTCATTTTACTAAATGGAATAAATCTGAACAATTACAACTCCATCCATCTATAGGATGCATCAATCAACGAACCAAACAAACAAACCAAATTTATCCCACCAGAGAGCAGGGCATCAAGGGAAAGATGTACATAGACTTTACCTTTACTCCAAAGAGTAAAGAGGTTTGTTCCGAGTGCACCACTGGTGAACTGTGATGTGTGATCCTTAGTGTGACGTGAGGAAAAAACAACAAAAACTATACATTTATTCTAAGATGCATCAATCAAAGATGCATATAATGCAAGTTTGCAACCTAAGATATGGTAGGACTGTATCTTGATAGATCATAGCTGCATGCTCACATGCACTGTTGAATTCAAAAGTTATGACTTTCAAATAATAAGAATTAATCTAATCCCTTTGTCCCATAATTATCTTTCTACTATCCTATTTGGGTTGTCGTAAAATTTTCTTCAACTTTCATTTTAAGGAAAAAATTGTGTGGTCCATATTATTTATCTTTTCTCTACATAAACCACAACTATACAAGTTCTACTTTATTAAAAATCGTGTCAATTTCATACAAGAACATAAGTATGGGTCAGAGGGTGTATATATAGAGAGCTTCGCTCCACCTAATTTACAGTATGGATAAGCTGAGTGAAAAACTTACAGGAAGGAGTTTTGATGACTTCTTCATTACAGCTAATGAGCTACCAAGGCAACCTGATCGCTGCAATTGGTAAAGCCAAGGAGCAAGATCAGCTAAAGAACCATCAAATTTGATAGAGTATCAAATAACAGAGGGTGCATATATGAGCATGTATTTATATTCCAGCGCATAGTCCGCATACACATTCACATCGATGCACTTACAAAAAATAAAATAATTGTATACATTTCTTCACAATGTAAATGCACATATTAACTTAAAAATAAAAACTACAGACCAAACCTGAGCTAACACCCATCCAACCAGCCAATCTATGTCACTTTTGTGATTCGATATTACAAGGGCATGTTCTTTACCTGGAAAAGTTAATAGAACATGGCATAAAAAATCACTCATCAAAGAATATGGATGCTTTATGCATAAATAATGTGCCATAGTAAACAAATAGAAAAGCTTACCCATCAGTTTTAGTGCCTCGGGTTCTGTGAATAATTTAATCTGTAACAACAATATTTCAAAAATCAGGAACAGGGTTGACCATTTATGAACATGGAGAAGAATGAAGATAGAATGATAATAAATATATCATTTTGTTACCATTACAAGTAAATTTATCTAAAGTATAATCGGTGAATAACCTTAGTGATAATGAATACGCTCGGGATGTATCTGTTTTTTGTAGTTGCACCGAAAAACATTTAAGAGTGTGATTGGTTGAAGGGGAGGAGAGGGAAAAGAAGGGTGAACAGTGTCTAAAAAACTACTAATCCTAACCCTTCATTTCCTTTCCCTCCCCTTCAATGAAACACACCCTAAAGGACACAATGTATACAAAAGGGTAAACAAATTATGACTACAAGTTGGGACTTGACTACACAGATTTAAATTTTAATATTTTCCACCCAAAAGTGGCACAGCACGGTTCAGTTGTGGCATACTTCCATGTATTATTAGCAAAGAAAGAGTGACAATTCAATCACTACCTTAATACCCGCCCACCAGTCAACAAGCCACACAAGCTCAAGCCACAGAAGTTCTGCAACCACCCTGTTAATCCTCCTGTATGTGTTCTTTGACAATGGCCGGATAAGGACAAAGCAAATACCCTGGCAATTATATTCAAGATTAAAATAGAGCATTATTAAGAAACAATATTGTTACATATACATTTGTCCCATTTTGGAACGGAATTGAGCAAGCATCATGAAGCCTGAGGTGAAAATGCTAGAGAAATGATTTGATTATCCCAAATATACACTGACACGTTGTGGAGCTTCATCTTTACTCAGGAAATCAGTGACTAAAATATATGCGTCATTTTAAGAAGCACTACGGACCTATAAGTCTAGAATGTAATATGATCTTATTTAAAACCCCAAAAAGAACCGATCCCAATCACTCCGCGAATCATTACTGAGAATAATTGCAAACAATTTCCAATTGCACAGATTTGCAATGTCTTGAATCAGAGCATGTAACACCAAAAGTCAAAACCGGTTAAATAGACTCAATCGTTGTGTGCAAAGGTAATCACCTGAACGAGATTGGTGAAGAGACCAGAAATGAAGAAGAGAACGCCCAGCGGTACGATAATAGCAGCAGCTGCAATCGCCATTGCCGACTGCTGGCCGAGCTTCCGACTCTACCGAGATAAACAGTGATGCGTGTGTGTGAATAGGCGCAGATACGGTTGATTTCAGAGAGAGCGAGAGAGAGAGGCGGAAAGCCGGAAACCGATTAATTTTCCTTTCACGTTTTCCTTGTTATCGGAAGTTATTAATGCCGCCACCAAAGTTTGGTTAAACATAAATATGTGGGCACGGGAAATAGGGGACTTCAAAATTTCCCTCTACCACGTCAGTTTAATTTATCTCACAGGTTCAATAGATATATGTTTGAAGCTTTGTGTTTCAAACATAGTCTTTAAACTTTATTTTTTTACATTTTTAAATATACATCTTCTAAGACCTTTAGTCATCGACTGACGCTGCTTTATATCTTGATACAAAGTATTTGTTCGTACGTGAGCGAGTTGAGAAAAATAAAGTTTGTATTGAGCATATAAGTACTAAGAATATGCTTGCGGATCCGATGACTAAAGGTCTCCTTCCTAAGTTTCGAAGATGGGGTTTTCTAAAGACCTTATTTAGTTGCATATTGTACTTGCTTACATTCAAGACTGACAGACCTTTAGTCATCGACTGACGCTGCTTTGTCTTTGAATGTGTCTATGCATGCCTAAAGACATGTAGACAATATTTATATACAAAATAATGTTATGGGCTTAATTTTCAATTTGATCCTTAGCTTATTAAAGTTTTAAATTTGGTATTGTAGTATGATTAATGGGGATCTTGAATTGAGTTTCGATTCAATGATTGTATTTCTCTGCTATAGTTTTGGTTTAGAACTAAAATGAGTATTAAAATCTGACCAGACTTATCTGATACTCATCATAAATGATTACTCGACCAAGTGGGAAAATGTAGGACACAATTTTATTATTTGGTCTGAGTTATCATTTATCTAATTAATTGATCATTGACCTAATAAATATCCTACGTATTTAATTGGTAATTATTTGATGGACTTAATTACCCTTACAACCTAATTAGGGTTTCCCCTTGGGTGTATATATATAGGTCATTAGGTAGAGATCACAACACCAATCTTACGCCTCCTCTCTACCTCTCTATTCTCGTGAGTCTCATCATCACCTTAGCTATCATAACGATACACTCTAAACGGGAACTCGATGTGCGTGAGAATCATGGCATCATCTCTAACTACGTTTACGGGATTATTATGTACACATGATTTAATTCCTGATTTATATGTTATGTTTAAGAATTAATCAACGAAAGGATATACCCCCGAGAATAATAATAATAATAATAATAATAATAATAATAATAATAATAATAATAATCTTATTATATACAAATTAACACAAAATGATACATATGAAAATAGTCAAGAAAAGAGAGCCAAAAGAACAAACACATTCTTCATCTCTCCTTATTTTATCAATTTCTTCTCAATGACTCCTCTTTCCTACATAAAATATACGGAGTAATATAGAAGAATATCAAGGGGTTTTAGAATTCATCTGGCACTAAACTTGCCAAAAACTGACTAGGTCTATTTTTTTTATCTAAGATTCAACCTGAAAATACTGGGTTTGGAATAAAAGTTTTGTTGACCAAACCCAAAGACGATTGAACTCGAATTGACCAGCTAAAAATCAGTAAATCTCAATCAAACCTGAACCCTGACTAACCTGATAGTGTAAGTATTTTTCAAAATTATGTATCTTATTATGGAAAATAATGTAATAAAAATAAGATTGTGTTTGATTTTTTTATCACTCATTTAGTGTATAAAGCATATTTTGATACAAATTTTTAAAGTTATCACATAAATATCTTACATTTTTTCAAAAGTGATTTATTTTTAATATTTTTACTATTCATTACATTGTTAAACATATCTAAGAAGGAATTTATAATTAAAAATAACTATTTTAAGAGGTTTAATATATGCATTTTGATATTCTACTACGGAGTATTTTTTTGTGTGCAAGATGCAAGTTCTAGCATAAATTTAAATAAACTCTTAAAATAAATCTCATAACCCGTTGGGTCGATCTAAATTCTAAGACATTGGATCATGAACATGTAATTCTCAATCCAGATCCAAATTTTCGTGAACTCGAGGTAAGTATGTAATCCGAATTCAAAGTAATCAAACTTGAATCCGGCCTGACCAACCGATTTGCCAGACCTATGTGCCACTCGTCTTGCACTAATTTCTTAAGAGAGTTGATTACAAACCTTTAATGGGAACGAGAAAAAAATTGTAAAAATAAATGAAAAGTGCTCTAAAAATGGACATATTGCAGTATAAGTATAAGAAAAACTTCTACAACCATAATGCTGTGAGTGCGCCAACAAAGAGACTGGCCATCCAAAACAAAACGAACAAAAGAAAAATGAAAACCAGCAACACTAAGCATTGTATTATTATCATTCTATAGAAACCTTACACAAACAGAGCACAATGATAAACCTCACTCTTATGTTGTGTTCGAGTATTCACTTGTCACAACTATAGCATCTTGCTTTACATTTTGTGACAATAATATACGGAGTACTACGTACTAATAAAAGGCAGAAGAAAAACAAGCTCATGAAACATTTTTCCTGACCGAAAACGTACTTCAAGAAACCGAGGAACATGCTTCTGTCTTCTGCTGCTTTTCTGCAGCTGATGGCTATGTCCTGAACGTGGATTTCGTGCTTGACACATAATACAGAATACTATGGACGAATATTTTTATATGGGAAAAAAGAGAGCTCAATACAACATGCCACTTTACCTCCAAATAACATCAGTTCTGAAATTGTAGAATTATTATGAGGATCAGCCGGAAAGAGGACTTAATGCTTATAAAAAAAATAGTTGTCGGTTTCAGAAGCTTACACACAGAATTAGGAAGTCTTCCGAAATGGTATGCAATAACAGCTAGAATGATGAAAAGGACAATCTACAATACAAAACCAAAGCCAATGAAGATGTGTGTTGCATGAAGGGGTTAGAAAACAAAGGTATTCATTATCGAACGCAAATGCTCACCAAGGCTAGAGAGTGATTGGGCTCGCTCCTCAGAATGTAAGATCCCCTGAAGATACACAAAAGCATCATTTCATAGAGGTAAAATATGTTGGGTAAAGGAAGTGGGTTATATTATGTGCCACCAACCTCTTATTTAAGGTTCCAGACTCTCTGCAAGTCTTCAAAATTGCTTCAAGCCTCTTCACGGTTTTGGTTGCACTAGGATCATTGTTGTCAACCTACAGATATCACAAAGGATGATAATTGTTAGGAGTGAGAATCGTGTTTATGAAAATCTAAATGACAGGAAATTCAGAAAAATGAACATGACTCAAATGACCATATATTTTTCACACTTCTTCCCAAGAACCAAGAATATTTGTACCTTCCAACTGAAACAAGACCATTCATCATATTGCTTTTGTTTGATTTAGGGAAGATATAAAGAGAAGAGAAATGTGTGAGAATGAGAAATGGTGACAAAGAGATTGTGAAGAGAGAAGTATAGTATATTTGTGAGTTGTTTGTTGGGAGAGATGTGGAGAATCAATGATTAGAAATTGAGGAATGCATTTTCTCTCTTTTTTCACTCAATGAGGGTGAACAAATAAAGTGAGGGGTAAGATCCATCATCTCAACCTGTCTCCTAACCAAAGAAGAAAATTGTTACATTACTACTCTGTTGTTTCTCTCCCCCTTACATCACTCCATATTTCTTCCTAGCCAAGAAAGGCTTTACGTCCAGCAAATTAGAAGTGCTAGAATTACATGTGTGTTCAAGCAGATATGGGTAGTCCTAGTAAGAAAAACTGTTAACTTTCAGGACTAAGCACATTGTGTGACTGTTTGGTAGCCACATTTTTGGCTCATTTACCAAACACTAATTCTTTGACCCCACACTGAATTGGTTAATAATGAAAAATGGAAAGGTTGGATGTATTTTTTCGGTTGAAGTTCTTGAAGTTGCCAACGATGAGATATTTATCAAATTTGATTCAGGTGTGCCAGCTAATTCAGCCATAACTTCAGCCATTTAAGCAGATTCAGGCACCTAAGCCATTTTAAGCCTTACTTAAAAGGCTCTCAAAAGCTGCTTCTCTATAGTAAAGTGCCAATGTTTCATACCATTGATTTCAGAAAGCACTGTTATAGCCTTAATCCTAACTATTCGAGGGTTGATGCCATGAACTATGTGGTATAAATTTCTCTAAAATCAGTTGGCATTAAAGATTCATGCAAAATCAAGTGATGGATAAGTTTAATGCCCAACCTGTCTCGACATTCTTACAGAAGCATAGTAGTATTGTAGTAAAGCCGCATACCTTTGATTTTAGCATACAAGAAAAGTCAAAAAAGGCACCATAGACATCAGCCATGGTCTTGGTCCGATCAATGACCTTAGCGGTAAGACCTAGAAGGCAAAATAAAATATAATGATCACAACACTATGTTTCCATATTCACACTATAAAAACAGGATAGATCAAGGAAACACTATATTTCTCCTAAGGAGACAAAATTTTCAAATCTGAATGAAATTAAAAGAGCAATAATTTATTCAATTTCCATGAAAATACATCTAATAGTAGCACAGAAACCAAAAAAAATGAAACTTATTTTAAGATAATTAGGTTCCTCTAAACAGTTGAAATGGAATCCATTTTCAATAAATATAAGGCCACATTCTGTAACAAAATGTTTGCCCGATAGCTCGATACAAAGTTCTAGACAACGAGTCAAGTTAACATTCGGTATCTGAATATCCAGATCCACAGCCAGACTAAAAAGACACAGTCTACATAAATCATTGCTCTTGAACGGAAACTAATATTTCCAACATGATGTAGCAAAGCATATATAATATTATATCTTGTAGAGATTAGAAGTCCCGCATGCTATACTTAAAGAAAAGAGTATAAATTGGTCTGATTAGTTTTATATAGGGGCCAACCTGATAATCTTGTACACTAGTCAAGTTTTATCTCATAGAGACACGGAAAATAAAAAGAGAACCAAAAGCAGTTACAAACTTGTGAATGTTATAGGGGTGAGCCCATATATGAAGTACCAACTGGACAACTGGTGCATCTAATGTAATCACATCATACCTCGTCTCATCTTTACAACTCCCCTGAAAACTTCAACATTGTTGTAACACATTGCTAATGTCCCGATAGCCATGATCTAAAAGTACAAGCAAATAATAAATCTTTTTTATGTAATCTCTATTTTTAATTGATTGCACAAAATGAGAAAGTTTGATGCATGAGAGAAGGAGATCAAGATCAGTTTGAGAAACCAAGAACTACTATAGCATTATACCTGCGGAATAGCACAAAATCTGAAGATGGAAGGATTCCGCAAAGAAGACATGTAAGTCAAGCAATCCTCCACATGCGATAAAGCATTTGTGACCATGTCATTCAGGCATTGCACCGCCTTGACTGAGTTATCCTCATATTTTAAATCCTGAGGACATGTTATTAGAGAAGAAAAGCATACAATCTAGATGATAACTAGTCCAATCATCATGTAAACAAACCTCAAGTTTGTTCACATATTTGCTCCAGATTTGACGTGGCCAAAACATTCGCGACTTCGGAATCTCATTAATATCCTCCAAATAATCTCTAATGATGTTTGTTTTCTGGATAGCAGCATTGAAATAGGAATAACTGTAAATCCTATAATTTAAAGGATAACCAAGGATTGAAGATGTGTGTTTAATGCAAGAAATACCTGGAGGAACAAACCCATCGAATTGGAGAGATGATCTGCAGCTAAATCTTCTTTCCCAGAAGCATGAAAAAGTTTTGACAGGCCTAAGCCAACAAGCCCAGCAACATAATGACAATATTCGTCATAATCATCAACTGTTTCTACCTGCTAGAGAGTGAATATAATGTAACGTGCATGAATATGTGATGCATACTATGCCTTTGGACAATCCACCCCCTCCCCCACACACAAGCAATACAAACCATGATACACACACATGTGCTTTCATATTATTGAAAAATACCTCCTTGCATATAAATTTTGCCATCCCTGCACCCATCTTCTTTGTAACGTCCTCAATTGCCTCCTGGTAGCTGCAAAATTAAAAAACACCACTTGATGAGCAAGTGTATTGATATTGCTTCTAAATTATGAACATATATCAAGGGCTTGTTCATGAGAGAAGCAGCCTAATATGTTTCCAAATCACAACAAACAACAACAACAAAGCCTTATCCCACTAGGTGGGGTCGGCTACATGGATCGAACAACGCCATTGCACCTTATCATGTACCATATTTGTAGCGAGCAATATCTTTCCAAATCACGTTTAGGGTTATTCAAATCAAATGGAAGAAGAGTCCTAAGAAAAGATTTTCAGTGTTAGAACTCACTTCTTCCTCAGCTCTAGAAAAGCAGTAGAAACATGATGGAATTGGTCCATGAGAACTTTGTATTCCTTTGTACCGCCTAGTAAGGAAGTAGCAACTTGTCAATGTGAATGACATCTAGTAATACTCAGAATATAGAGTATAGCCCTTTAATTTATACAAAACAAATACATAGCATACAACTGAGGATGTATGTATCCAGAGGACTCACATGGAAAATGCCATTCACTGTCATATATGTGACGATGAAAAGCAATCAAAATAGGTACTTTGATCTCTGAGGCTATGCTTGTATCATCCTCTATTGAGAAGGAGATTCATTAGAAATATCATAAGAAATATGTAAAAAGTAACTTGAATAATGCAAAGAATCATCAGAAACAATATCACTTTCACAAGACTCATAAAATGAAATGAGTACTCGGAGAGTGATATTCCGCAAATTCTGACCTACTTCAACCTTGTTTTTGTATTCAAAGTTCAGTTTAGGGTTTCAAACTGATCATTTTATCTTATGGTTTGAATAGAGTACGGATTTTTTTCTCTAAGTCGTATTTGAATGTCCTATGCCTGCCACATCCAGGTAAAAAAATACTATTTGCATGATAAAACTGAAAAATGATCAAGCATACATGGAAAAACATGAATGCACTAGCGTTGGGATATGGATAAATTGGTTATAGTTTAAACCACCAAAAGGTAACAGGAAGTCGTGATATGTATTTCTGTGCATTTGGACTCACACATCTCTAATCATTAGCATTTTTAAATGAGGATATGATGAATAGTGCAGATAATGGAGCGTACCAACAGTGTCAAGTGCTCTAAGAACCAAATAGAAAATGCACACCTGTAATTCATAGACAAGATCATAGTCACATCATCGGCATCTAGAGCAAAATACAACACAGTGAAAGTGGCTTGAACCATAGCTCAACTACAAGTCTAGAAATCTACAATCACATATACTTACAAAAAAGAATAAAAAAGTACAAGCAAAACGGGACTCAGCATCCTTGAACTAGTGTTTTGTATGGAATGAAGGACAAATCTATCTAGTTCTCTATAAACAAAGGAAACACATTAAAAAAAGAGAAAGAGAGAGGCTTCGGAATTCAGATCCAGCACCCCTTAAACCATTTTCCCATATACTACAGAAGAAAACTTCTCAACTTTAATCCAACTCCTAGTTAATTTTCAAAGACGGAGATAAAACACACTGATGTTTGAGAAATGCTTCAATTCGTGAGCTCTGAGCTCAATGCTGTCACTAAGCACAAAAAGAGAAGAAATATACATAATTTCAATGAGCTGACAATCAAATCCAGGACAGTGAGCATAAATGCAGACATTTCCCAATGAACGAAGAAACAGGCTGAACATAGCAAATGCGGAAAAAGGAGAAAAGATCACATACAGCATCACGAAGCTCGGTCGGGAGCTGTTGAATGACGAGAGAGAAGCTGCGAGAGACCTTGAGGAGCATGCTGTAACAGAATCCCCAATGAGGCTGCGAGGGGATCTGCTTCTCCGCCTGCCTCGCGGCCATCTTCAGCTTTATCAGCGGATACACATCGTCAGGATGCTTCAACATCGCTCCCAAACTCCCCATCCTAACGATTCAATCAATCAATCAATCAATCTCTAGTTAAAGTTTAAAAAAATCAAATGCATCCAACACAAGAGTATCGATAGATGAAGATGCATCAAATCCTAATGCCAGAGAGATATATGTACTTGTGAGCGCGACGAATTGAGAGACAGAAATCTGCAACTGCAACCACTGGGAGGATATTTGGCAGATGCGAATTGTAGATGGATGCAAGCAATGCGAGGTTGATTTTGTGAAAGTTTATCATAATACCTTTAATGAAAATGAGTGGAGTGTATTAAATGAGGTGGGTGAGGTGTAATAAATAAAGTAAGTAGGGGTAGTTGTAGTATTTTAATTGTTAAAAAATGAAATGAGAAGATCTATTGTGGACATAGAAAAAGGGCTATTGAGAAGATCTATGGGAGACGGAGGGAGTATATAACTGGTGTTGAAACTATGGTTTCAACTTTCAATGCGTGCCTGTATGAATTGAAATTCTTGATCGCATTTTGTCAACTGTTGCGATGAGCTGTTGGTTTTGGTTGAAGGCGGATAGAGATTTCTTAGTTACAAACATAATTGCTACTACAAACCTACTCATTTAAGAAATTAAACTAGGGGTGAGCACGTACCGAACCGTTACCGAAATTTCCCGAAAAAACCGAGATTACCGAACCGAAAAATACCGAACTGATAAAATACCGAAAAGACTGTACCATACCGAATCGAATGATCGGTCCGGTATTTGGGATCGGTACGAGGTAACTTCCCATACCGAAAAATCTCGAACCGAACATATATACAAATACGTTCCAAAAATAACAATGTTTTTATATTTCTTCATTCAACAATAAATTGATTTTGAAAAGTTGGTTCAAGTGCAGATGAATTACAAATAATCTTTCATTTATATAATCATTTATTTGAATTTTATTTTTTGTAGATTTATATAAAAAAATTTAACAAATATTTGAAATATTATTTTCTTATCATTCATTCTCTTTTGTTTGTAAAATATGAAGTATAAATTAAACTAAGTTTTATAAGTATTTTTGCATTTAATTATTCATTTTCCAATTGTTTATCTTACTTTTATTTGAATGCACTTTCGGGTTTTTTTTTTTAAATAAAAAGTTTTGTACATTCCAAAGTATAAACTAGGTAAGTATATATATTCATCCCAATATTTACCGAGACCAAAACCGAACCATCCTGAACCATACCGAACCGATATTTTGGGATCGGGATCGGTACGATGTAAAATCCCATACCGAACCGATATATTTGGTACGGTATCGGTACGGACTAAATACCATACCATACCGTGCCACGCTCACCCCTAAATTAAACTATATATCCCGTTATTCCTGTATTATTTTTAACACTAATAACTTTATTACTGTATAAAATAATATTTATTCATATATTTTCATCATATTAAAGTTTCCGGAGCCATCGAGGATAGGCCTGGACACAGTTCCGGGTAATAACTGCCAGGCACCGGCAGTTCTAGAACCGGACCAGAGACGGACACGGTGGACCGGGTAAAGGAACCGGACCCGAGACCGATGGACACGTGTCGATTTCGAGTTTTATTTGGATGGTACTAGAACGGCGGTTCCGATTCCGATTATTTTTTTATTTGACTGTTGCATGACGCATGGCAGCTGGCAAACGACAATATAGTCGTTGTCATGAATTGGGGTAGAGGGTGGGGGGTTACCCTATAAATACCCACTCATTTTTTTAACATTTTCACAACATAATTTCTCGATTGCCTCTCTTAATTCTCAAAATCTCTAATATCTCTCTCAATTCTCAACATTCATATTTTCGAGGACATTAAAGAGGCAGAGGAACCAACACCTAAGAGCAACGATCGCTCTGGAGAGGATGGCGAGACAGGTGAGCACGAGACCTCTGAAGGTTCGGGTAAATGTAAAAAACTTCAACCTGATTATTTGTACATCATTTTTTTAAAGATACAAAAAATGATAATATTAAGAAAATTTGTAGATATTGTCCTAAAAATGGCAATTTTGGGGGGTTACGGATCACCGACCAACCACCTCAGAGCGAGGCACCCTGTGGAGTTCGTCAAAATGATGGCGAAGAAAGATTGAGTACAAATCTAAATTTCTCGTTTTGCAAACAAAGGTAAGGTCGGCCTTTTTGCTTATAGCAATGAGCAAAATAAGTAAAAAATAGTCGAAATGATTTGCGAGAAAAATTTACTATTCATGTTTTCTAAAAAAAATTGGATTTATTGATTATTGTTAAATGTACTAAACCCTTAAGCAAGATATTTTTCAAGAAAAACAATTAAAAGAAAAATTATTAGACAATATAAAGTTAGAAAAAGATAACTTAGCTAATCTTTTTCTTACTTTTCATTCCCGTATAACTATTTGTTCATATTTGGAGTGAAACTTATCATAATTTGTCTTACATGGGTGTTACTTGTCATTGGATAGATAGTGGTAACATTCTAACCGACGCTGAATCGCTTGACAGTTGAGACACTTGTTTGCAACCGAGATTGGTTCTTGGCAAGGCGTCAAGCACAAGAGGCGGGCTACGACATTGATACACAAAATGACATAGATGCAACTACGGAGGGAAGTAATTGTTCCAAGGATTAAATTTGTATCTTTTATAGAATGTAATTAATTTTTTGTTCGGTGAGCATTTTATAAGCTTCTTCGAGTGCTTCTTTACAGTTCTTTACCTCGTCATTTTTTTGAACCATCAGGATATTAAATGTAGTTATAATATTTTCAACATTCTTCATTCAAATAACAACTACAATATTAGAATTTATAAAAACCTATAAATTTCTTTTACATTACATATAATAATATTATATTATTCATATATTAGAATATTACATTAAAAAACGTAAACTAGCCCAGAATCAAAGCCAAAACCGCCGATCTGGAACCGGCTGGGGAACTGCCCCCTCTGGTGCCGGTTACGGTGCCTTTAGTTGGCGGTGCCGGAACTGTACTGTGTCCAAGTCTAATTTGGGATGAATACATGACCTAAAAGAGTCATAACAATGTCATTGGACTTTAAGGTCCTTGTCAAATTAAACAATTTTAAATAATAAACAGAGTAAAAACTTCAATGTAGTTTGTAAATGTTGTGACAAATCAAAACTTTAAAACTAAGGCAAATTCTATGATGGACCTAAGGTCCACCATGAATCTACATATAATGCAAATAAGCAAATCTTTACTACTTTGATAAACATTTATTTTAATTATAAAATTTAAAAAATGAAAAAAGATTTTTTATGTGAGAGGATGGACATAAATGGTATGCACCTAAACTCCTAAAGTGCACTATAGAAGCACTCTAAACTTAAATACACTTATTTAGGCTCTGTTCCGTACGCCTGATCTGATTGAATCTGATCTGAATTTTTGAAGTTCTGATCTGATCTGATTGGGTCTGATCTGATCTGATTGGATCTGATTTGATCTGATTAGATCTGATCTGATCTGAATGGATCTGATCTGATCTGATTGGGTCTGATCTGATCTGATTGAATCTGATCTGATCTGATCTGATCTGATCTGATTGGATCTGATCTGATCCGATTGGATCTGATTTTCTCTAATTAGATCTGGGGTAAATGAATTTAAATTTGATTTAAACTAAACTTAAAGTTATTACAAAATTTAATAGTTTTAAAGTATTACAATTCATATATACATAAAAAAAGTAAAATAAGAAAATCAACTAATCATTGATATGTTTAAACTTTTTTTAAAAAATATTAAACATCTTTTCAATATCACAACTTTTTTAATTTTTGTGAAAACTAAATAATCGGTATAAAAATAACCAAATATTAGAAAATATTGATGCTATTCTACAAGAATATCACATTCTATATACATATTACATAATAACATATTTCATGTTACAAATTAAATATCATATAAAATTTTAAACACTAATATCCCTTTCACCTCTATCAATTTTGTCATAAACTCACCCTTGTGTATATTTTACCATCTTAAAGCTTAAAAGTAAGTCTTTTTAAGTATAAAATATTTATAGTTTTGAAAACTAAGTTTTGTATAATTATTTTATAAACAAGTATTTTAAAATAACTCTTTTTAAAGTATGAAACATAAAACTTTTTAAGCTTTAACATTGCTTCCATGCATCATTTCTATCCTACAAGCTAAACAATTATTAAAAATAATGGTTTGTAGTTGAAATATAATAATAATAATAATAATAATAATAACAACAACAATAACAATAATAATAACAATAATAATATAACAACAATAATATTTAAAATTATAATATTAATTAAGATTTAGGTGTGTGTATTTTTAAATAAAGTAATGTGATTTAATCAAATAATAGTATATATTATTTAATCCTTGAAAATATAAATATTATCTTTTATATTTTTCTTGATTTGATATTATTGGATTTGATCTGGTCTGATCTGATCTGATTGGATCTGGTATGATCTGATTGGATCTGATCTGATCTAATTGGATCTGATCTGATCTGATTGGATCTGGTCTGATCTGATTGGATCTGATCTGATCTGATTGAGTCTGATTTGATCTGATTGAATCTGATCTGATCTGATCTGATCTGATTAGGTCTGGTCTGGTCTGATCCGATCTGATTTTAATAAGAATAAGTAATAAGTAGAAAAAATAAGTCCTACGGAATGGACCCTTAGTCAAAACATTAAACTAAAATGTCAATAAAGATTAGTTTTTTTAGAACTACCCTCCAATAATTGAAAAAAATAGTCTGTACTAAAAACAAAATTATACTCTTCGTTCTAATAAAACATTTTTAGTTACTATTTACAATTAAACTAATTCTGTTTTCTTTATTTATTTTCATCGACATTTGATTAAATAAAATATTTTTATTACCTATAGTTTTGTTTAACTTTTGATGTAGTTTTTTAATATATAATTTTTATTTTTTTAATTAAACACTAATTTTTACTTATATTAATTTGAAAAAAACATCAGTCAAATAACGTAAACTAAACACGAGCCTTATTTTAGAACAGTACAAAAGTACTCTAGTACATTATTTGTTTTTTTACCAAAAAAAAAAAGAAAAAGAAATCAAGCCAAATGACTGAATGAGCCTTGTAGTCCGTGGAAGGGTGGACTCCAATCCCCAACGAAGGACGAGGAATTATCTGGGCTGAGATCTCAGACTTCGGCCTCTCCCGCCAATTCAACCGTATCAATCAAAACTGCTCATATATGGCGACATTCTTCGCTACCACGCCGTCGTATTCTTCCACTCTGCAATTCCTCCGTCCATCTTCACGACGGTTTCCGGTAATTCACTTGCAGAGTCGCAGTTACCTATCTCCTTCTACTTCGACGATTTCTTACGTTTGTTGCCTATTTCTCCTCACAGCGTTATTTGTGGAGTGGAGCTGTTAGGAACGACAAGTTCAATTCAATTCCTCTTAGAAAATGGGTGAAGTCCCGTCGGAGGTAATAGTTTGAAGATAAAACTTGGGAGTAAAATTGGTTATGAAATTGGTTTTTTTTGGTATGATATAATCAGGAGAACTTTGATTTATGCTGTGAATAAAGATGATGAAGGCTCATTCAAGCAGAATGTGGAAATGGATAGGCTTATAGATATGTTAAGAGCTGCAAGTGATAAAGAAGTAAGTGAATTTCAGGCCTTTTTTTCTTCAAAAATGTTAGGAAGTAGGAAACCACTATGGTGCGTGCCTTCACGGATGACAATAACG